GAGGGGCTCCCCTGGCCAGGAAGTGGTGGAGCTCAGAATCCTCACCATCCACTCCCCTTATCCGACACTTAGCGTGTGCTGGGGCAGGTGAGTTACCTGTGAGTTTATGTCTCATTATGTCAACCACTGTAGACACAGGGTCCAGGCCTTACTCATCTTTAGCTCCAATAGTACCTCACACAGTAGAGGGTGACCCAGCATGTGAAAAAGTCACATCTGCTTTTTAAAAATTAATAAACAATTTTTTAGAGCAGTTTAGGTTCACAGCAAAATTGAGCTGAAAATACAGTTTCCATAGAGTCCCTGTTCCAACACATGTACAACCTTCCCCACTATCAAAATCCCACACCAGGGGGCACATTTTTTACAATCAGTGAACCTGTACTGACAGATCATTATCACTCAAAGTCCATAAGTTACATCAAGGTTCACTCCTGGTATTTCACATTCTATGGTTTTGACAAATGTCTAATGACATGTAACCACCACGGGAATCATACAGAGGAGTTTCACTGCCATGAATGTCCTCTGTCCTCAGCCTGTCACCTCTCCCTCCCTCCGTGTCTTTTCATGACTTGAGAGCTCATTTTTTTTTAGTGCTTCATAATATTCCAGTGTCTGGATGCACCACAGTTTATCCACTCACCTACTGAAGGTCATCTTGGTTGCTTCTAAGTTTTGCAACTATAAATAAAGCTTCTATAAACCTCTCTGTGAGGGCTTTTGTGTGGACACAAATTTTCAGCTCCTTTGGATAAATGCCAGGGAGCACAGTTGCTGGCTTGTATGGTAGGAGTATGTTTAGTTTTGTAAGAAACCACCAAACTGTCTTCCAAAGTGGCTGCACCGTTGTGCATTCCCACCAGCAACGAATGAGCGTTCCTGTTGCTCCACATCCTCTCCAGCATTTGGTGCTGTCAGTGTCCCAGATTTTGGCCTTTCTAGTAGGTGTCTGATGGTGGTTCATGTTTGTTTTCACTTGCATTTCCCTGATGAAACATGATGTGGAGCAACTTTTTACGTTTACTTGCCATCTGTATATCTTCTTTGGTGAGGTGTCTGTTGAGGTCTTTGGCGCATTTTTCATCTAACTGAGCGTTAAGAATTCTGTGTATATTTTGGATAACAGTCTTCTATCATGCACATACACTAGATTGGTCAAGGTCATAGCTGAGAACAGATGGGAGACTGGAGCTGGCTCACGGCCTGACAAGGGAGCTGTTTACAAGGATATGGGGAGGGGTGAAGAAGACTGGTAGGGGGTGGTGGCAGGACCTAGGCCAGCCAGGGGAGGGGCTGAGGCCAGGCCCCTCAGGAGGGGAATACACCTGAGGTGTATGAGGCAGGATATCAGCCTCCAAAGTGTCCAGGTCCGAATCTGCGGATATGTCACACTACACAGGATATGTTACATCTTCTGCCTCCCTCTCTCTGTCTCTCTGTGTCTCTCTGTCTCTCTGTGTCGCTCTCTCTCTCATCACACACACAAACACACACACACACAATGACTCTCTTGTTCTCATGAAAGTAAACTCTGTTCCTCTGAGTCAGAAAACCCCACCATAACTCACTCCTGGAGTGAGGGAAACAGGGAATTAACTGTCTTTTTTTCAAGGTTCAAGTAGCAAATAATCTCTCCGGGTCATTTGTCGGCATCAGGACCAAAAGCTGACTAGGGCTCGGAAACTGTCTTATCCGGCTCCAGCTACAGAACAGCATTCAGGGCTGGGTGGCTTAAACAGCAGAAATGTATTTTCTCACAGTACTGGAGGCTGCAAGTCCAAGACTCAGGTGCCAAACAGATTTGGCTCCTGGTGGGAGCTCTCTTCCTGGCTTGCAGAACATCTCCTCCTCACTGTGTCCTCATGTGGCAGAAAGACAGAAAGAGACAGAGAGAGAGGGAGGGAGGCAGCTCTCTGATGTCTCCTCTTATACGGACACTAATCACCCTTATGACCTCGTTTAACCCTAATTACTTCCTCATTCCACATACAGTCACTAAGTCTTCAACAGTTGGGGAGCCGGGGACACAGTTCAATCCACAGCAGAAGCCCCCGGGATGGGATCCTACAAGCAACAGGCAAGAAAGTCAGGAACCTGAGCAAACAAAGCAAGCAGAAAACCCCGACTCCTGGCCTCAGAGACCCCCTTGCCTGGCCAGGAAGCCTTGTCAATACTTGACACTACTGCCCGGACAGCCCAAAGCAGAGCAACACTCCACCTCTGGCATCCCTGGACTCAGAACTGCTGCCCTTCCGTAACTGCCCACCCCTGGCAGCGCCTTCCAGCACTGAGTGGTTCTGAATTATTTGCTGCACAATTAGAGATGGAGGAATTAAGCCTGGTCTGTGGCTAAACAGGAAAGCCAAGATTTTGATTCTTTTCTTTTTTAAGTCAGCAGGCAGCTTTCTTTTATTTATTTTTATTTATTTATTTTTGGCTGCGTTTGGGTCTTCATTGCCGCGCGTGGGCTTTCTCTAGTTGTGGCGAGTGGGGGCTGCTCTTTGTTGCGGTGCATGGGCTTCTCATTGCGGTGGCTTCTCTTGTTGCAGAGCATGGGCTCTAGGCGCACGGGCTTCAGTAGTTGTAGCTCACGGGCTCAGAAGTTGTGGCTCGCGGGCTCAGTAGTTGTGGCTCACAGGCTCTAGAGCACAGGCTCAGTAGTTGTGGCACACGGGCTTAGTTGCTCCGCAGCATGTGGGATCTTCCCGGACCAGGGCTCGAACCTGTGTCACCCGCCCTGGCAGGCAGATTCTTAACCACTGCGCCACCAGGGAAGCCCCAAGATTTTGATTCTAACATAGACAGTGGGGGATATCAAGGATCAGAGTCTTGCAATACAGGCTGAAACCAATCTTGACACAAGTGATGTTTGTATTCAGAGGCAAAAGTAAGTTCTCGTGGGTATTGAAGAAGCAAGCGCTAGTCTCCAAGCATCTATACACAGATACACTCTCCAGGAAGAGTTTCAGGTTAGCGGGACCATGCATGAGATCTACAACCAGAGGGCACATCAGTCATTCTCCTCTGTCCCCCTGGGTGAAGAGAGAAACTGCAATCCCTCTGCACACATCTGTAAGGGGAAGCCACTGGGTGCGTCACTGGTGCTAAATCTTCCTACTCACTCGTTAACTGCATTTCACCATCCTCCTCTGACCTGGCTGGAGAGGCCCAACCACAGAAGATATGAAGGAAATTCTCCTCTTTCTACATGACACAGGATGCTTGCCTAGAACTGTCCTTAAAAGGTAACAATACCTCTTCATGTCTTTGATGGTGTGTCCTGGAAAACGGACTCACCCCCAATAGCACCACAAATGAAAAACCAGAGCCTGCCCCCTTTTTCTTGGAGCTTCTTTACCTCAAAAGAGTTAAGAATTTAACTCCTTGAAGTGACAGCCTGGGAACTCCAGCCCTGAAGATTCCTATCTGCTCTGTGCTCTAACCCAAAGAGATAAGAAAACCAGATCATAGTATTTTTCATTCCTCCTTTTCAGAGAGTAAACTAGGCTAAGAGAGACAGGAGGCCTGTCCAAGACACACAACCAGTGAATAGCAGAGATGAGACTTGGACCCACCTCTTCCGACTCCACCCCGGGGGTCCTTCCACTCTTCCAGTCTAGACCTTGGGAGACTAAGTCCTTGGAGAATTCGTCCAAAGGGAAGCAGGAACTTGCCCTTCTCCAGGTCCTACAGGCCTGATTGAGCTATGTGAAACCCAGTAAAAAGTTAAAAATTTATTAATATTGGTTATTTGCTTTAAAGAAAATTTGTCTAAAACTCATATGTATGGAATCCTTGTGATGGACAGAATTGTGTCCACTCAAAGCATATATGTTGCGACTGCCCTGGTGGCACAGTGGATAAGACTCGTGCTCCCAATTTAGGGGGCCTGGGCTCGATCCCTGTTCAGGAAACTAGATCGCACATGCATGCCGCAACTAAGAGTTCTCATGCCGCAACTAAGGAGCCGCATGTTGCAATTAAGGAGCTGGTGAGCTGCAACTAAGGAGCCCGCCTGCCACAACAAAGACCCCATGCAACCAAATAAATAAATATTTTAAAAATTCAAACTATATATATATATATATATATATATATATATATAAGCCCTAGCCCCAAAAGTGACTGTAAGGTTATATATCCAAATGGAAGAATTAAATATCACTGGGCCATAACAACTTTGCTGAAGACAAAAAATCAGGAGACCTGGTTCTGGCCTTAAATGCCCGGGGAGCTAAGGGTGAGATAAGAAAGCCTCCACTAGGGCCTTCCAGTTGTAAAATTCTGGTGTTCTAGGAGGGCTTAGGAAAGAGACCAATGGAAGGTTTTGAAACATGCGAAACATACTTCTTTTCCCTTGCTGACACTGCTCCATGAGAATGACATTCTTGAAGGACTGGGGAAACGTGATATCATGAGGAGGCATCTGACACTGACAAAGGAGTCCTTGAGGTTATTAGTGCGGCACTGAAACAGCCTTTAACAGAAGATGAAAGAGTGCTTTAGCAAGAAGAATGACAGCTGCAAAATGCTGAACTGAGGGCAAATTCTTGATCATTTGTCCTTGGGACTATACACACAGACAGTAGCACAGCACAGGGGCACGCAGTAAGTGTGGGATGCCTACTTATGCTGCAGTGCAGAGTTTCACACAGATTCACCCACTTCAACTTCACAGAGATTCTGCAATAATATTTTTTAAATGCGTTGAGAGAGGGTTAAAAAATAACTTGCCCAAGGTCAAACAGCTAGTACGTGCAGGCGTCTGGCCCAACGCATGTCTCTCAGGTCCCAAAAGGAGCCCACCGTCCACCCAGCACGTGTTTCCTGCGTGGAGCTGAACTGAGAAATGTGAGCGCGGCTAGCGGGCCTCCCCTCGCGGTCCTGCGCTGGCTCGGGGGCACCCTTCGCGGGGCGTGTCCTCCTGTTCTGGAGGTTCCCAGAGAGGAGGAGGCGCAGGCTGACGGGGCAGCTCTCCCAGTCTCCGGGCAGGGAGAGGGAGGGAGTGCAGCCGCGGGAGCGGGATGGAGACCAGCAGCCCGCGGCCCCCGGGACCCAGCCCCGTCCCCGCGCTGGGCCTGGACGCCCGACTGGGCGTGGACACGCGCCTCTGGGCCAAGGTGCTCTTCACCGCGCTCTACTCGCTCATCTTCGCGCTGGGCACTGCGGGCAATGCGCTGTCCGCGCACGTGGTGCTGAAGGCGCGGGCCGGCCCCCCTGGGCGCCTGCGCTGCCACGTGCTCAGCCTGGCGCTCTCCGCCCTGCTGCTGCTGCTGGTCGGCGTGCCCATGGAGCTCTACAACTTTGTGTGGTTCCACTACCCCTGGGTCTTCGGCGACCTGGGCTGCCGCGCCTACTATTTCGTGCGCGAGCTGTGCGCCTACGCCACGGTGCTCAGCGTGGCCAGCCTGAGCGCCGAGCGCTGCCTGGCCGTCTGCCAGCCCCTGCGCGCCCGAAGCCTGTTGACACCGCGCAGGACCCGCCTCCTGCTGTCCCTCGTCTGGGCCGCCTCGCTCGGCCTGGCTCTGCCCATGGCAATCGTCATGGGGCAGAAGCACGAGCTGGAGACGGCCGGCGGGCAGCCGGAGCCCGCCTCACGCGTGTGCACCGTGCTGGTGAGCCGTCCCACGCTGCAGGTCTTCATCCAGGTAAGCGGGAGGGGCGACCCTACAGCCTGTTTTCATCTCTCATACTGGAGACCAGTCGGAAAGTTGGGTCTCATTGCCCCATTTTACAAAGGACTTGTGGAGAGACTTGGCTAAAGTGAAACACTAAGAGAAGTCCAAACAAGAATGAAATATTGCCATTTGCAGCAACATGGATGGACCTAGAGATTATCATACTAAATGAAGTTAAGTCAGAGAAAGACACATATTATATGATATCGCATATATGTGAAATCTAAAACATAATACAAATGAATATATATACAAAACAGAAACAGACTCTCAGACATAGAAAAATTTATGGTTACCAAAGGGGAAAGGGAGGGGAGAGGGATAAATTAGGAGTATGCAATTAACAGATAAAAACTACTATATATAAAATAGGTAAGCAACAAGGATTTGCTGTATAGCACAGGGAACTATATTCAACATCTTGTAATAACCTATATGGAAAATTTAAAAAAAAATATATGTATAACTGAATCACTTTGCTGTATACCTCAAACTAACACAGTACTGTAAATCAACTATACCTCAATAAAAAAAAATAATAAAGAAAAAGAAGTCCAGATTTGAATTCAAAATTAACTCTGAAGGCTTCCCACTCTTGCAGGAGTGGTGAGCAAATGTGATGGGGTATAAGAATTACCCTGAGAGCAGGTAAAAATATAGATTTCATGACCCACCCTAGGCTTCTGCTTTTTTATTATCACCAAAACTAGTCATCTTTAGCCCCATGACAAGAACATGAAAGAACAACTAGTTTACTGGGACGTTGTGCAGACATAAAAAGAGGCCTGAACATTCAACATTAATGAAGCGTTTCAAAAGAAATACATATATCCACTGCAGCCTTACTGAGAATATGGAAAAATGTGAAGTTAAACCCAATAAGAAAACATTCCACTTGCTTTCAAAGTGGCTTACTATGGTCCCTATCGGGAGAATTACTCAAAGCCGGCTAGGCAGGATCCTTAATTTTTAAAAACTCCACTTCCTCTATCAGACATTTTTGCAAGTTGTCAAATTCCTTACCCCAGTCTGGACCTGATGATAAAGGAGGCCAAAACAACAAACACCAAAACCCACCAACAGTAACCATACTAATGGAACTGGTCCTGCAGGGAATCAAGACAGCAGTCAGAATAAGGGAGGCCACTGACAACAGTGGGAGTGGCTCCTCCTAGCACTGCATCAGGTGGACTAATTGTGACCTCAGACCTCAGCAGTCTGCCCACATGCTTGCTGCCTGCCCCAGCCCTGGCCCAAGCACATCCCGGCCACGGGGCAGCACGGGACACTCATCTACCTCCCAGCGTCCCAGCTGCCTCCAGATTGTGAGCTGCAGGGAATCAGTCAGCAGAACAGTCAGTGCACTGCTGCTTCTGCCCAAGGCCTGACTGCCTGGTTCCCGCTGCACACTGGTGTGGTCCCCCGGCAATGGACTAACAACCCCAGGCTCAAAAGACCTGGTTGTTAAGTTCTACCACGCTTCACAGACTGGGGTAGTGGCTTCCAGGCTGTACTTATATTGGAGTTAGGCCTGAGAGAGAAAAAAGTGTCAAGCAGGGGCTTCCCTGGTGGCGCAGTGGTTGAGAGTCCGCCTGCCGATGCAGGGGACACAGGTTCGTGCCCCAGTCCGGGAAGATCCCACATAACGTGGAGCGGCTGGGCCCATGAGCCATGGCCGCTGAGCCTGCGCGTCCGGAGCCTGTGCTCCGCAATGGGAGAGGCCACAACAGTGAGAGGCCCGCGTACGGCAAAAAAAAAAAAAGAGTGTCAAGCAATGTTTGTGCTGCAGATATGCTACTTTCAACGTTTGCTTTACTGGTACGGACCAACCAATGCAATGAAAGCCATGAAGTGTTCGCGGGCCAAGCTTTTGACATTATGTGTAGTGAATTCTTTCAGTGTACCAGTGTTGTTTGACAAATGGTGTATGTCAAAAGTGTTTCATTTGAGATGTACAGCCTGTGTTAACACAACAAAACAACCAGACTCAAATTATTTTGGCCCAGCTTTCTTTTTAGTGTCTTATCAGTGAGTTGATTCATTATCCACATGAGTCAATGCTTTTTGACCAAGGAAAATGCTCAGAGTTTTTGAAAGTAGAAAAAGCTGCAAGGGCATACCTTGTTTTATTGCTCCTGGCTTTACTGTGTTTTTTACAAATTGAAGGTTTGTGGCAACGCTGAGTTAAGCAAGTCTATCAGCACCATTTTTCCAGTAGCATTTGCTCATTTCATGTCTGTGCCATATTTTGGTAATTCTCGCAATATTTCAAATAAAGATTATGACAGCTATAAAGTTTATGACACACTGAAGGCTCAGGTGATGGTTAGCAAATTTTAGCAATAGAGTGTTTTTACATTAATGTATGTACATTGTTTTTTTTAGACATCATGCTATTCCGTACTTAATAGACTACAGTATAGGGTAAACATAACTTTTATATGCACTAGGAAACAAAAAAATTCATGTGACTTGAATTTATTGCAATATTCACTTTATTGCAGTGGTCTGGAACCAAACCCGCAATATCTCCAGGTATGCCTTGATAGTTCTTCTAGAAAGATCTCAAAGGTGCCAAAGATTAATCACTAACTTATGAATATATGTTTTACCTTCAATTTCTGTCTTGACTGGTACTAAAGTTACAGTTTGATAGTAAGTATATTGTCAATAAAAACCTGTTTGGTTCCACAACAAACTTAAAATGATTTTCATGTACAGTGTTTTATTTTTCTCTAGGTGTTGCTGACTTGTAAGCATGCATTAAGGTGAAAAAAGCCTGAATGATAACTCCTTAAAAAGGTGCAGCACCCAATTGAGATACTTTGTGATGATTTTTTGTTGTCGTTCTGGCCGCACAATTGCAGGACCTTAGTTCCCTGATCGGGATGGAACCCATGCCCCCTGCGGTGGAAGAGCAGAGTCCTAACCACCGGACTGCCAGGGAAGTCCCCATTTTTTCTGCACTGATTTTAAAGTGCTATTAAAATGTTTCATTTTTTTTCAATGTTTGCAGAGGGAAAGAACTGAGGAGGAGAAAACCCTATAACACATGTATTTTGAATTTGAAAAATTAAACATTTAAAACACAAGGTATATAAAGTTGAACAGCTGCTCCCTTTCTGTTCCTCCATGCTCTGATTTCTAGTCTCTGATCTGGAGGCAACCACCATCCACTCTTACGTAACTCCCGCTACATTTTGCCTACATTTTCCAAAGAATACGCCTGCTTTATCCGTCAGCCTTAAGTTTATCCACTGACTTGTACCTGTAGAAGATGAATACGTCATTCTTTTACATTCCCATCCCTGCCCTCCACACCCCACGTTCACACACACTTCCTCTCACCATCCTTTCAGTATCATTATGTCATGGTATTTGGTTAGATTCATGGTCAATATTTACTTTATTGTGGCTATGTAAAATTCTTCACTGATGAGCCAGGTTGTATATTTTTGGTTTTTGTCCTTTCCAATATTACAATATTATCTCCAGTATTTGTTTTCCTTGCAGTTAATAAATGAATAGCCTTTTTTTTCCCCTCTCATTTGCTTAGTTTCCCATCTATTTCTAACTCATTTTTCCTTCTCTACCAGAAGTATAAATACCATTTCAATATGTTCAGACCCATGAGGTAATCTACCAGCTTCATCTTGTCTTCTTCAATCATCCCTAGAGCCCTGTCTTCTGCTCCAGCCTCACTGGGTGCAGAACTGGCACCTTGCCAATGCCACCCCATCTCTCTGCTCCTCTGTGGGACACTGATTTGGGGATCCCAGGTCTCCCCTTCTGTATTTGTTCATAACCTTATTCTGATGGAACATATGCTCTTGTAACCTCCTGTGGCCTGAGAGAAAGTTCGTAGAAGGTAAAACAATTTTTAAGAATTTGCATGTCTGAAAATGTTTCATTTTATCCTTGCATTTCTCATAATATGGCTGGGCAGAAAGTTATAAGATGGAAATCGTTTTCCTCACAGATTGTGACGCATCACTCTTGTTTTCTAGCTTCTTCCACTGTTGTTCTGAGTGAGTATAATGACATTCTGGTACCCCATCCTTTGTATGTGCCATTTTATCCCTTCGGAAGCTTTCAAGACTTTATCTCCAGGCACTAAAATTCCTAAGAACACGCCCTGACATGGATTTATTTTCATTCATTGTTCTGAGTAGCCAAATGCTTTTCAGCCTAGAAGCTCATATTCCTCCATTTTGGGAAATCTTCCTTAAACGTGGTTTTGGTCGTGTGTTTCGATATTGTCGTTATAATTTCAGTCTAGAAGCTCATATTCCTCCATTTTGGGAAATCTTTCGTAAACGTGGTTTTGGTTGTGTGTTTCGATGTTGTTATAATTTCAGTCTAGAAGCTCATATTCCTCCATTTTGGGAAATCTTTCGTAAACGTGGTTTTGGTCGTGTGTTTCGATGTTGTTGTTATATTTTCTCTATTCTTTTTCTTTCTGGAACGGCTATTATTTAGATGGTGAGCATCCTAAACGTCCCAAATTTTCTTATCTTTTCTCTTCCATTTTCATTGCTCTCTCCTTACTTTCTGAGGATTTTCTCGACTTCCTCTTGTAAGCCTGGTGTCACCACGCGCCTGCCACCCCCCACTCCTGCTGCTACAGATTCCTGGGCCCTTGGGCCCGGCCTGATGACCAGAGTATCGCTGAGCCTTGGTGATACCTCCATAACCTCTGGAATTACCTTTTCCAGGTGAATGTGCTGGCGTCCTTTGTGCTCCCCTTGGCATTAACTGCTTTCCTCAGCGGGGTCACCGTGAGCCACCTGGAGGCCCTCTGCTCCCAGGGCCCATCCCCTTCTGCCACAGGCAGCTCCGCCCCCAGCCACCTGAAGCTAATGAGCGAGGAGAGGAGGACACTGGCCCTGGGAGGCCAGGCCGCCCTGGTGAGACACAAGGACTCCCGCCGGATCCGTGGCCTCCAGCGCAGCATCCAAGTTCTCAGTTAAGTGCCCGGTAACGCCGCCCAGAGGGGAAGGGCCGGATCCAGGGCTGCCTCCGCCAACACCTGGCCACATGACCTTGAGCAAGTTACTGCCTCCCTCCAGCCGTCATTTTTCTCTTTGCCCCGGGGGGTTATATAATCACCAATAGGCTTCTGTAAGGTGCAGCAGTAGAATTAAAGGAAAGAATGGGAATTGTGCACGTGAACCCCCCAGTCTGATCCAGGGAGTGGTGCCCAAAGACAAGCAGATGACTGGCTGCTTCTCAGGGAGTCTGGCCATACAGACGGACGCAAGGAGCAAAGGTAGTTAAGGATCCACAGACCAGGAACAGTGGACTCAAACCAGCTGGGTCTCCAAATCCAGCTCTCCACTAACTCTCTACCGTTCCTAATGTGACATCGATCAGTGTGTTTGCTTTTCTACATATCTGGGCAAACTTGGCTCTGTAAGGGCAACTTTAAAGGCACAGGAAAACAGAGGTCTTTCCAAGCACCTGCTGTGATCCAGGAACTCACGACGGTCTGGGAGGATGGAGTAAGGGAGAGGGTCTCCTCTGTCATCAGTGCCACGGTCTTGTGGGCAGGACCAAAATATAGGAGCCAAGTGCAATGTGATGTGACAAGTAACCGAGGCAGCACATGAAAGGCCTGGATTTCCTTCCATAGACAACGGGCCGTCATGGCAAGAGCTGGTGTCCAGAGCTGCTCTTGAGATATATGTGCTCGGCAGTCTTAGAGGACAGGCTCTCCAAGTTTGAGAAGTTTGCTTCTCAAACTTCTGTGTGCACAAGAATGATGTGGGCAGTTGTAAGACGCAGCCCACTGGCCCCCAACCCAGAGATTCTGATTCAGCCGGCCTGGGATGTGCCTGAGAATTTACATTTCTCACAAGCTCCCAGCTGAGGTGGACGCTGCTGGTGCAGGGGCCACAGTGGATTAGAGAATGGGTTTGCCACTCAGGGCAGGAGTAGAAGAAAGGAAAGGAAGAGGTAGAAGGTTAGGGACAATGGAGCCACTTACGAGACTGCCGTCATAATCCGGTGGAGGGAAGATATGGGCCCCTAGGGTGGGCACAGTGGAAGTGAGGAAGGAATGGAGAGGGAGATGCTTTGTAATAGATTGGGTCTCGGGGGTAATGGAAAAAGAAGAAGACTCTGTGGCTTACGATGTGAGTGCCACATGGATGGTGGTGCCATCAATCAATCAGAAAAAGGGACAGAAGAGGGAGAGGCCTTATAAGGCAGAAGGACATTTGAGTTCTGTTGTCTCTGCAGTCAGACAAAGTGGGAATATCTAGCCCTGAGTTGGGAGTATTTTCTAGTGACCAGGAGCTTATAGATATTGTAGCAGTTTCTAGAAGCATGTCAGTGGACAGGTCAGGATTAAAGTGGACATTCACTCAGAGGACAGGGTAACACCAGGTTTGGGAACAGATCCAGGTAAGGGTGTGTCAGATAACCTCAAAGTCCCCTTCCAACCCCTAGACTCTAGGAGCAATTTCAAGGGAAATGCTCTTGTCACCTTGGGCAGCTTCTTCCCCAGAGATGGTGTAACTGTTACGTGTTTCCTGTCTGTCTGTCTCTCCCCGGTCCTGCAGGAGCCATCGTGGCTGTGTATGTCGTCTGCTGGATGCCGTACCACGCCCGCAGGCTCATGTACTGCTACGTCCCTGACAACGGGTGGACCGAGTGAGTGAGGGGAGGAGCCCCAGCACACAGGGAGGGGCAGCCGGGCGGGGCCAGGGCTGCCTCTGCTCTCCGGAGGGACCCCCAGTTGCTGGGTTCCCCAGAACTCTGGCCTCCATTCTATCCGGTCCTGCCCAGTCTGTTATCCCAAAAGCTCCCAGCTCAGGGTGGGGAACAGAGCATTATCCGGAAACCTCTCTGAACTGGTCAGGCCATGTGAGTGGTAGTCAGGGTTATGGGCATCCTGACTTCAGGACGGAGAGCAGCCTACAGGTAGGGGGCGGGGAAAAGGCCATGTTCTTACAAGGAGAGAGGGAAGAAGCCTCAGAGCTGTGATTCCATGAGTTAACAGAGGCCCCTTAGAGACCAAACCATGCACACCCTTTTTATGACACAATTGGAGAAAAGCAAAGCAGAGAATCCCTTATCTTCCTTTTGGAAATCACTATGCCTCGATCATAAGGGAAAGTCAAACATCTGAGAGGAGAGAGATCCCACGTGGCCTCCAAGGAGATAGCTGTGTCTACAGATGGCTCCTTCTCGAGAGCTGCTAGCGCCCCCCTCCGACCCCCACGTGCACACACATGCACACACACAGCCCTTCCCACGGCGACAAGGGGCACAGCTTCTCAGAAGGACTTTCTCCTCTTAGTGAAGCCACATCTCCTTGACCACACCCAGCAGCACGAGGCTCCCCATGTCTCAGCGGGCTGGCCAGTGGCCCCCGTCCACCGGCAGGTGTGCCCTTCACTGTGCAGGTGACCGGGCCGGGCAACCAGGCACAGGGACTCAAAGGCTGGGTGGGGCAGGTGAGCCAAGGGCAGCTGGTGTGACGGAACGTCTCTTGAATTCACACTGAGCTTCCCGATAGCAATAAGCAGGCCTTCCTCACGCAGCCGTGTGGAAGGGGAGACACTCCCAGCAGCAAGGGGAGGATGCCACGGGCAGGCGGCAGGCCCTCTAACCTGCCTTCCGGGTTTCTCCTCCAGCAAGCTCTACGATTTCTATCACTACTTCTACATGGTGACCAACACGCTTTTCTACGTCAGCTCGGCGGTGACCCCTGTGCTGTACAATGCTGTGTCCTCCTCCTTCAGAAAACTCTTCCTGGAAGCCCTCAGCTCCCTGTGTCGAGAGCACCACCCCACGGAGCCATTCCCCCCAGGGGCCCCGGAGCCCCGTCCTAGTGGATACAGCATCCGGCCCTGGGGCTCCCCCAGGAATCCTGGCCTGGATCAAATTGAAGAATGAGAAGAGTAACACTGACTGCACAGCCATCCAGCAGTCAGATGAGCAATTTCATCACTAATAACTCAAGCCATGCAGTCAGGCGGACCTACAGGGACCCCCAGCTCTGCCACTCACCAGCTGTGTACCTGCAGGCGAGTCACTTACACCTCTTAGCCTCAGTCTCCTCGTCTGTGTGATGGAGACGAATAATACCCATCTTTCCTGTTGTCTGAAGATTAAACACTTAGCACAGTGCCTGGTGCATAATAAAGAATATATTTTCGCTGGCATTATTTTTGTTGCTATTGTTATTACTATTATTATTATTATTGTTATTGCTGTTTCTCTGCTCTCCTGAATTTCTGCAAATGACAAACCAACAGTGCCCAGAGCTGACTGCCTTGTTAGATCACATGAGCTGTAGTAAAATCATCCAGTCGCTCCAAGTAAGGGAGCAGCCATTCACCCCAGCAGGAGCATTCTGTGGGCCCTAGAGAGCCTGGAGTCACCAGCTGCCCTCTCTGGCCTCGGACCTGTGTGTCTGCCTGACGTGAGGCGGCCGGTGCAGCCGTGGGATGACGGCAGGGCTGCCTGCTCTGGAGAACAGCCCCACAGACGTGCTCTGGCCAGCAGTGTTCGGAAAGGTTGCATTTCCATTCTTTTTGTCAGAGCAGGCTCCCTCCATTTCCCCGCAGGTCTCAGCCCCTCTCCTGCCTGCACAGGGCCAGGTACTGCTTGACGCGGCCAGCCTTGCTCCTGAAGGCTTGTGAGGCCTGAGCCCAGAGAGAAAGGGTGGTTTTCCTGTCTGTTGCCATTGAAGCCACAGATCTGCAAAGGGGCAGGAAGAGAAAAGTGAAGCGCAGAGCAGACGGACCAAGAAAAGGTTTCTGGGGCTTCCCCAGTGGCGCAGTGGTTAAGAATCCACCTGCCAATGCAGGGGACACGGGTTGAGCCCTGGTCCAGGAAGATCCCACATGCCGCGGAGGAGCTAAGCCCGTGTGCCACACCTACTGAAGCCCACGTGCCTAGAGCCTGTGCTCCGCAACAACAGAAGCCACCGCAATGAGAAGCCGCGCACCGCGACCAAGAGTAGGCCCCGCTCGCCACAACTAGAGAAAGCTCGCGCGCAGCAACAAAGACCCAACGCAGCCAAAAATAAATAAATAAATAAAATTTAAAAAGAAAAAAGGTTCTCTCTGATTAACTGTGTTGATGTTTCCCTGAACTCCGTCCATCACTCACCCTGGTCCCCAGTCCTGGAACCAGCACCTGTGCACACACATCACGGGCAAACAGTCACACAGACACATCACACACACATCACGTGCACACACATTCATGCACACATATCACGCCACACACTACACGCACACGCGCCTGGACGAGTACCCTGTTGGAGGTGAGAAGCTAGAACCGGCAAAGGAAGACAGGAAAGGTGGCCAGGAGGAAGGGCACACGGCCTGGGGTGCTGTGCAGTGGCCACTGCATGAGTGGGAGGTGATCGTTCTGGCCCCCAGCCCCTAAGCCCTTGAGAAAAGGCCAGAGGCGATGACAACACACTTCAGAGAGAGCCTACACAGAGCCCACCACCCTCCTTGTCAGGGAGAGGAAGGGCCACCTGGAAAGAAGGAGCCACACGGGGCTGGTCTTGGGAACCTCTTGTCAGGTGGCTCCGAGGGTCGGGCATGAGATCGCCCGGTGGATGGAACAGGACAGACTCCAGACTGACACGTGGAGGGTGGGCGCCCCCTCTCTGCCCCGTGTGCCTGGGCTCCGCCGCACTGGCTGAGGATCCCTGTGGGCTGATCTTAAAGGTCCATCTCTGGAGCTCCTTAGTGAAGGCGGGGGAGGGCACCCTCCTTCATTCTAGTGAAAGCTCACAGAGCACCGTGAAGTAGGAAAGAGCAAGAAGCAGCGCAAAATACAAACTTTGATGCAGCTCCGTTAGGGGGTACAGACGCAGTTGAACCAGCGGGGTCCAGTCGGCCCAGGACTCGGGCCCCAGTCTGGGGCAGACCTGGTTTGGGGCCTGGCCTCATCACTTGGATGAGCCCACCCTGGGCAAAGGAATTTCCTTGAGCCTGTTTTTTCATCTAGAAAACGGATGGAGCAAAAGTCCTTAAATCCAGTTTTTAAAAATAATGTAGATCAGCAAAAACTGACTTGGATTTGAAGCAATGTACAGCCCTTAGTTATCCTTCTTCATAGAAGTATATGTACATTTTGCTGCAGAAATGTGAATGCTCCAAGTTCCTGTGTGTCAGCTCTGGCTGCCATCACCAAACAACACAGACTGGGGGGCTTAAACAACAGATGTTTATTTTCTCCAGCTTTGGAGGCTGCAAAGATCAAGGTGCTGACAAGTTTATATTTCATTCTGAGGCTTCTCCTGGCTAGTGGGCAGCGGCCATCTCGCTGTGTGTCCACATGACCTTTGTGCATGTGTCGGGGGGGGAGAGAGAGAGCCCTCGGGCGTCTCTTCTTACAAGGACATTAATCCTGCTGGATCAGGGCCCCATCCTTATGACCTCATTATGATGACCTTACTTCATCAGTAATTAACCTGAATTACTTCCTTAGAGGCCCCATGTCCAGATACAGCCACAGTGGGGGTTATGCCTTCAACATATGAATTTTGAGGGATGCCAACACTGAGTCCATAACACCCTGTTAGGGTTGCTGTGGTAAGTGGTATATGAACCATGCTACTTTTCAAAAAGTCAAATACTCTGAATTGCAAAATATCGATACATCTGATCCCAAGGGTTTCAGATAAGAGATTATGCCTATATAGTACCTAATAATCAATCTGTAATGATGAAATGAGAAAGAATGAAAAGTTCCTATCACAGTGCCTGGGATACAGTAAATGCCCAATAAATACTAGTCGTCACTATTGTCATCACCATCACTCTAGACCTCAAACTGGGTAAAACCTGGTAACTGGGTAAAACCCTTACAGGAGGCCCTGTGAATAGCAAAGAACAGCAGGACCAAAATTTAAAGAAAAACATATTGAGAGGACAATTTAAGAAAACATGAATGATACGTAAGGAGTTACTTTACATGTTATCCAAAGATCTCATGCAAATCGTTAAGGAAAACACCAAGACCTCAAAGGCCAAGAAACACACCAGAGGACATACGTTCGGCCTCAAAAGTTCCTAAAGAAACAACGATCAAAACAATAGTGATGCAGCACTTTGCGGCGAATACATTCATTTCAAAACGTCAATGACAAGAGCCCATATTGCCACCAGAAACCAGGTGTGATCGATGTGCTCAGACAGTGGAGGGAGGGAAAATCAGAGTGCCCTCCTAGAAAGGAAATAGAAAAGAAATTTTGGAAGCTAGAGAAATGTTCAAAAACTTAGAGCCTATGTTTCACCCGCTGGAACTTTCCTTTAAGGCAGTTTGCCAAGGAAGAAAAGCCTCTCTGTGGGCACACAGGTGTGTTGCCAGGCTCTTCGTGGGGCATTTACCGGCAGGCTCTGGACCAAGCAGGTTAATCACTCATGATGCCTGCCCCTTACATCCTGCCTGGAAACACTGTTATTACTTTTGTCATTTTACATGTGGGGAAATGGAAGCAAAGAGAGGTTAAGACAAGTCTTGTCCCATTACTTGCATCACACCGCTTCCCAAGAGTCTGATGACAAAAGATGATAAGAAACTAAAGGCTCAGCCTTAAGGAATCGAACGATTCATGATCATTTATTCAAACAAATCCTATGTGTTAGACCACCATAAACAAATAATAAGACTTACTTAGCAGTATAAACATACTGTGGTTTTACTATTAACTAAACAGGGAAACAGAATGCAAAATTATAGTATGCACAAGTCATTCCGATTCAGAGAAAAGGTCTAGAATGAGGCACTCAGAAGATGGTGAGTTTTCTATGGAGGCGTGAGTGACCTAAGAATAAGGGTGGTTTCTGCCACCTTCATCCCATGATCTGAGTTTAGTAAATGTCTGGTAGAAAAAGGACTGCGAAACCTTTTTTTTTTTTTTTTTTTCCTAATTGGTTGGCATAATGTTGTTTGTATAATATCTAAATAACAAATTTCAAATAGAAATCAAATTCCCCTTGCTGAGCCCCAGGTAGAAGCACTGGGCATTGACTCAAGCCCCTGCAGTCCAGGCTCAGACAGGCCTGAAGATGGATCCTGCCTCTGCCACTTATCAGCAAATTCCTTCACCTGCTCGGGCCTCCTGTCCACACCTGTGAAACAGATATGATAACCACTACCCTCTGGATGTTAAGTATTAAATGACATCATACATATGAAAAAATGCTTGGAAAAGTGTGTATGTATCACTTAAAGAGCTCAATGGATAGTAGCCGTTATTAATATAAAGGGAAGCTCTTGGCTCCTGAATGCAGCCGATCTTTACAATTCTGTATTTTTTAATTTATTTATTTTACTTATTTATTTTTGGCTGCGTTGGGTCTTCGTTGCCGCAGGCAGGCTTTCTCTAGTTGCGGTGAGGGAGGCTACTCTTCGTTGCGGTGCACGGGCTTCTCTTGTTGTGGAGCGTGGGCTCTAGGCGCGTGGGCTTCAGTAGTTGCAGCACACAGGCTCAGTAGTTGTGGCTCGCGGGCTCTAGAGGGCAGGCTCAGTGGTTGTGACGCATGGGCTTAGTTGCTCCGCGGCATGTGGGATCTCCCCGGACGAGGGATTGAACCTGTGTCCCCTGCCTTGGCAGGCGGGTTCTTAACCACTGCACCCCCAACCAGGGAAGTCCTACAATTCTGTGTTTTAAAAAAATAAGCTATATCTATTTGTGTGGTTGTTTGGTCTACTCGTTTGCCTGCTTGGCCAAGATCAAGAGACCCCAAAAGTGTTTCTTTCCTAAGTCTTAGTCTTATAGCCACAACTACCTCATGCCAGGATCCTAGGAAGCCTTTGCCAAACTTTGCCAAACTTTTTGCCAAACTTTGAAAGATGAAGTATGCATTGCCCACCTGTGTTGATTCCCTAGGGCTTGCATGTAACAAAGTGCCACAAGGTAGTGGGCTTAAAACAACAGAAATTTATCCTCTCACAGTTCTGGAAGCTACAAGCTCAAAATCAAGGTGTCAGCCGGCTATGCCCTCCTAAGGCTCTAGTGAAGAATCCTTCCTTGTCTCCCAGCTTCTGTTGGTTCCCAGCAATCCCTGGAATTCTTTAGTTTGTAGATTGATCACTCCAGTCTCTGTCTCCACAGCCCCATGGCGTTCTCCCTCTGTTTCTCTTTGTCTTCTTATAAAGACACCAGTCACACTAGATTAGGGCCCCACTTTACTCCAATATGACCTCATCTCAACTAATTACATCACAACAATCCTATTTCCAATTAAACTCACATTCTGAACGACTGGGGGTTACAACTTCAATATATCTCATTGGGGGACACAATTCAACTCACAACACCACCCAAAGCCCACCCTTCTTGGTAGGGCAGATTGCCACCCCTAGGAAACACCCTTTCATAGAGCAAAAGATCCTAAGAGAGAAAAATTGGTGCTCGTCCGAGTTTTAGAAGAAAGGCAAAAGGAAACTGGGACAGTCTATTCAGTGAATGACAAATGCAGTCTTAGAATTTCTGTTTCTTCTCTAGACCTGAAGGGCTTGAAAACTCTGCACTGGCCTTCCCAACTGTTTTGCTAATTAAAATGCTAATTCCTTCTGAGCAGGAAGTCTGCCTAAGCAAGTAGACTGAAAAAGAAACCGCAGCCGTGGACACTGGACTTGCCCTTGGTGCATGGTTGTCCCTTCAAGAAGAGCTGTTTGCAGAACCTGAAGCCAGACGTGGGAGGTTTCATGCAAACTTCTTTATTGAAAGTGGTTTCTAAACCTTAATGCTGGGATTGCCTAGACTCTAGGTGGCACACAATGTGGTGCATTTGGTACATGCTTGAATCCAGCAC